TTTGGGTTCATTGGGAACATGGTTGTTGTTCAATAATAACATTATTCCTCAAAAATACAACTTTACTAATAATTCTGCACTCCCTGTATTGACTTTTGATTCTGTGTGAGCCTCTCTCATATGAACATCAGTGTCTCAATAAGCATTAGAGTCAGGAAAAATCAAGTTCATATGCATATGGATGAAGAGATTTTATTTTAGTTTATTTATGCAACCAAATTTTCAGAAACGACCAAACTCTAACTGCATTCTCTCTTTCTTGCTTCATTCCATACAATCATTTAAAAGGGTATGAATTCACCTAGAATTCATTGATGTCTGTAACTAGTCACTGGTAAATTATTGACCATAGTTCAGATAAATTTCACATTTCACACGAATCAAAGAATTCTTGATGAAAGCGATTAAGAGGTTAACAGTGTTAATGTTCTGTTTTTCATGTGACTGATCTCACGTCATTTTAATATATGACACCTTAAGGCCTCAAAGTTCTAATGTCAGTTTTTTTTTCTTCAAAGGTTTTTAAATCTTTGCCCATTTCTAATGACCCTTAAAAATTGAAACATATTTTGACGTTTTCTAGTTTTAAAGCTCAGTCTGACCCTTTAATCTTGTTCAGATTTTGCATATATAATCAAATAATTTAACTTATAATCAGGTAAATGTATGTCAGACAGGTATGTAATATCTGTAATGTGTGTTACCCGAAAAGGATTCATGATATTATTATTGACATACTAAAACCCTGCCATCATGTTTTACAAGCAGATCGTAAACTTCATTTTTTTCCACACAGAGATGTCCTGTCATAATCTTTGTTGCACATGATGCTCATGCTGTGCACTCTCATTATTATGATACAACGTAATACTCCGATGTATATGGTTGTATTTGAGAATTAACAGTTTCTACTCTGTATAAGATAAAAAGATGTAAAACAAATAAATGGAACAAACAAGGTGAGTGAAATCTCACAGTTTACATTAGTTGTAATTTTCTTCATTATAATGTCAAAGCTCAGTGAGTTCATGGGATGACTGACAATGCGTCTTTGTATTAACTACATTTTTTTCCTTTCTCAGCCAACACTGTCTCCAGCCTCCTCGGCTGATATGGCTCCCATTTCCTCTGGCTCATCAACTTGGACTTCATCTGGTATCCCCTTCTCATTTGTCTCTATGGCAACAGGCATTGGTCCATCCTCCAGTGGTAGTCAAGCAACTGTGGCATCTGTGGTGACCAGCACTTTACTGGCTGGCCTGGGCTTCAGTGGTGGTGTCATTTCCTCTTTTCCCAGCTACATTTGGCCAAGCAGAGCACCCAACCACAATCCCACCTCTCACCACCAGGCTACCAAAGCCAGTGAGCAGATGAAAGAAACGCCTGCTGTTGTCAGTGCAGCAGTTAAGGATAATAATGAAGCTGGGAGTGAGGACAGAGAAAACTGCAAAGGTCAAGGAGAGGACAGAGAGAGGGAAGGCGAGGATACGGATGATGAGAAGGAAGAAGAAGAGAAAAAAGACAAGGAGAGGAAAGGATCGGGAGGTTTAAGCAGGGCAAAGAGGAAGGATAGCAACATAGCAGCAAAGCATTTATTTGGTAAGATGCCTTACTGTGGTGCACGGGAGAAGGAACAGACTGAAAAAGAGCCTACTAAACCACCGCCTGTTCGAAAAGACCAACTAAAAGCAAATACTTACAATCCACTTCACTCTTACCCAAGTCTTACCGCAGAATCAGCCAATCAAACAGCAGCAGTCCCCATCCAGGAGGACCTGACAGTGACACTTAGGCACCGCATAATGAGGGATGAAAAGCACAGGCCTTTCTCCTACCACACCGGTAAGTCAACAAGGTGGTCATGTACAAACCAGTGGTTATAAGAATATTAGCTGTTTCGCCTATTTGCGGAAGAGCAGATTCTGTTTGTTCTATTAATATCTCCCTTTACATTAGTCATGAGATTACTTGTTATGAAACATGTTACAACTTGTGTTGCCTGCTGCTATTTAACACATTGTGGGCTTCTGTGTACTGTTTGTGGGGATGGCTCTAAGGTCCAGCTCCTTCATAGACTAGCTGGTTATAACAAAAATTTTGAGTATTTATTTGAAAATGAGTATTAGTGTGTTGACCATTTTTGCTTTATTTTGGAGGGGGAATTTATCATTTAGACTTGTGGAGAAGAAGGATAGTGGATATATTGGACAATGAATGTCAAAGATGGAGGTCCCAGGCTAGCTAGGTTTACAAAAGTTTACAAGTGACTACGCCTTAACTAGACTCGATCTCTATCCCTCTCTCTCTCTCTCTCTCTCTCTCTCTATATATATATATATGAGTGTGTGTGTGGCCTCTGTGTTACCCGTATGTTAATGAGCTCCTGCTGTGAGGGCTGAAGTTGAGCATTTTGACCATCTACATTTTGATGTTTTGAAATGTGTCACAAACAAAGGAAGGATCTCAGGGATACTACATTTTCATGGATTAGCGACTTGTTAATCAAATTGCAAAGCATGACCTGCTTCATATGTCCTTTTGAAGGCTAAAGCAGTAATCATCTGAGCATAGGTATAATCTCATGATATTTTATTTTTAACTAAAACCCAGGACAGTAGTACGGCCAAATGACAACATGGGGAGATTTCTTTGGTAAAGGTGCTAACATTTCCAATTTTCTTAGATAAAAACTGTTCTATATATTGTAGATATGGTCCTGGAAAGTGAGGTCAGCATCACTGATAATGCTGAAGTAACAATTTGTAACACTCTCCAGAAACAATTTATAAGAAATTTCTGACCTTTAGCTTTAGCCCTAATAGTTGTGTTTCGTCCTGGTTTAACTGTAGTAAGTTATTAAAAATCCAGTTATATGGGACAACTGGCTGAAGGGAAGAAGCGAAACAGACTTTGACTTTTTAGAAGGACATTTAAATGACAAACATTTAACATTATACAAGAGTCAAAAAAAGAACATGCTGAGAAAATACTGAGTTACATGAATAAATATGTAATACTGTTGTAATAATGTAATATAAATGCACTGCATACTTTTTACTGCACAGCTTTCAGTCCACTTGTTCTAATGGTCAGTGAAAGTTAGTACCACAGTGAAAGTGGAAAAACAGTGTTACACATAACAATGTAGAGATTAGACAAATGACAGATGTGAGAAGGAGTAAAATGTAGGCTAACTCTGTTGCTAGCTATAGCTAGCTTTAGCTATCATCCTGCCATATTGTATGATGATTATTCTGCCATGATTTGTATTTTAGTTAACCATGAGAGCCATACATACTCAAAGTATTATTTCATTACTGTGGAAAGTCATTGAATGTGTCAGGTAAAATATGTGTGTTAAGAAGACACTTGTTGAATGTTGAAACAGCAAAGAAGAAATACTTAGTTTGGAAACTATGGTCCTGAGACTGATGTATCCATGCAGAGAAAATGTGGATTTGGTTGTATCTTTTGTAGCTGATACTCAATACAGTCAGGTGAAGGCAAGAGCTGCTGTCAGTGTCTCATTCATTGCCCCTTACTATTTCCCCTGTTTAAGGGCACAACATTTGGAAGCACCACTAGGATATTTGCCTTGAGGACCACGCCTGAGCTGTAAGAAAAAGCCAGATGACCCAGGCATCAGAAAGGAGCACTGCAAAGCAGCAGAGATGTTACTAGACTGACATTGGCGTTTGTATCCTGAAGTAAACAGTAATCACTAGGAGGCAGCAAAAATCTTTCAAGTCTAATAAACACTCATTTCAATTCCTGTGCTAACTCCTCTGGAGTCTGAAGTAGAGAAGCTACAGCTGAAAATGAAAGAAACACTGTATCAACTGACGGAAGAGCAGCTGATTAAATTATGTGATATACTTCAAATCTCAGGAAAAAAACTATGTGATTAATAAAATACACAGTCAGTTAGTCTCACATTTAAAGCAACTTGAACATGCAGAGCTTCAACCGCATGAAGGTATGTCACACCTTCTTGATGTCCAGAAGGACATATAAGCAATATACAAATGGAGAGGGCAGTAGAGAAATTAAGACTGCTTCTACACGAAAAAGAGGACAAAATGCATTGCTTAATGAAGAATGGCATGAATCCCCAGCTTAAGGTATTGTTCCAACACCACCGAACGGCTCTATGTAGCACAACAATTATAATAAATGAGGCCAAATAGTAGAGCCTGAGCAAAAAGACAGGTTCACATTTTCCAGTCTTGAAAGGCAAATTGAAAATGGGCTCAGTACCAGACCTGCAGTTAAGGAGTTACAGTGAGGAACATAAGTATTTGAACACCCTGCAATTTTGCAAGTTCTCCCTTTTACAAATTATGGAGAAGCCTAAAATTCACATTGTATTCCCACTGTGAGAGACGGCATTTTAAAAACAATTCAGGAAATCACATTGTATGATTTTTAAAGAATTTATTTGTATAGCACTGTTGCACATAAGTATTTGAACACCTGAGAAAAGCCAATGTTAGTATTTGGTACAGAAACCTTTGTTTACAATTACAGAGGTCAATGTTTCATGTAGTTCTTGACCAGGTGTGGACACACTGCAGGAGGGATTTTGGCCCACTTCTCCATAAAGATCTCCTCTAGATCTGTCAGGTTTCGGGGCTGTCCCTGAGCAACACAGAGTTTCAGCTCCCTCCAAAGATTTTCTATTGGATTTAGGTTTGTAGACTGGCTAGGCCACTCCAGAACCTGGATATGCATCTTACAGAGCCACTCCTTGGTTATCCTGGCTGTGTGCTTCGGGTCATTGTCATGTTGGAAGACCCAACCACAACCCATCTTCAATGCTCTGACTGAGGGAAGATTGTTGCTCAAAATCTCACAATACATGGCCTCATTCATCCTTTCCTTAATACAGTGCAGTGGTCCTGTCTCCTTCAAAGAAAAGTACCCCCAAAGTATGATGTTTCCACCCCCATGCTTCACAGTAAGGATAATGTTCTTGGGATACAACTCCTCCTTCTTTCTCCTCAAAACACAACGAATTAAGTTTAAACCAGCAAGTTCTATTTTGGTCCCGTCTGACCACATGACTTTCTCCCACGCCTCCTCTGGATCATACAGATGGTCACTGGCAAACTTAAGACGGGCCTGGACATGTGATGACCTGAGCAGGGGAACCTTCCATGCAATGCATGATATGAGACCATGGCGGCGTAGTGTTCTACCAACAGTGACCTTTGAAACTGTGAGAAAAGTGCCACAGAGTTATACAAACAACTCTCCTCTTAGAGTTAGAATAGTAAAGAGACTCCCTAAAATTTCTTGATCAAGACAACAGAATTGAGGCAGAAAATCCTGTTTGCTTCTCAGGAAGTTAAATCAAGTCTAAAATATGATCCAGCTCTAGTCCAGAGTCTTTTCATGCATACTGTCCTGACAAACAAATACTTCAAATGAGCTGTTGTCAGAGAAGGTGAATATTGCAGTTGCGAATGGAAAGGAGAGACAGGACGAAAAGAAACATGCAGCTTCATCATGAGTACCTACTGTAAATACTGTCTAGACCAGTGATTCTCCAGTGGAAAAGAGAAACACGGTCAAAGAAAGAGCAAATAAAAGAAATGTGCGCTGACATGGTACTCCTGAAAGAGTTGAGGGCAGATGACACCACGGTGATTGGCCTCATCAGTGACAACGATGAGGCCGCCTACAGGGAGGAGGTGGATCGTCTGGCTGAGTGGTGCGACACAAACAACCTGCTGCTTAACACCGAGAAGACCAAGGAGCTCATCGTGGACTACAGGAGGAATGCTGACCCACATCCACCCATCCACATTAAGGGGACGGCTGTGGAGCGTGTGAGCAGCTTCAAGTTCCTGGGAGTCCACATCTCCGAGGATCTCACCTGGACGACCAACTGCTCCAAGCTGGTCAAGAAGGCTCACCAGCGCCTCTTCTTCTTGAGGACTCTGAGGAAGAACCACCTGTCCTCAGACATCCTGGTGAACTTCTATTGTTGCACCATCGAGAGCATCCTGACCAACTGTATAACAGTCTGGTACGGGAACTGCTCTGCCTCGGACCGGACGGCGTTGCAGAGGGTCGCCGGAGCACCACTTCCTGCCATAAAGGACATCTACAGGAAGCGGTGTCTGAAAAGGGCTGGGAAAATCATCAAAGACCCCAGTCACCCATCACATGGACTCTTCACCCTCCTGCCCTCTGGGAGGCGCTACAGGAGCCTCCGGACTAAGACCACCAGGTACCGGAACAGCTTCTTCCCCACAGCTGTCAGACTCCTGAACTCTGCCTCCTGACATCTGACCCACGTTAAACTGGGTCAGATGGACTGAACATACACACACCCACAACCACCCACACACACACACACACAATGGACAACTGTACCCTCATACACACAATAACAAAATGGGCTGAACCACCACTCACAACCACCAGCACTTTATGTAACCACTGTAGAAATTATCCACATATCTCACTTATCTTAACTGCACTACTGTATAGTTCTGTGTAAATAATCATTCTGTACATACGATAATCTTTAATCCTACAACTGTTTATAACTTGCATAGTTCACATTTCTGTATAGCTGTATATCTCAGATTTCTGTATAGTTTTTCATATTTATATCCTGTACATAGCCTGTACTCACTACAGCCTGTACATACTTATACTTATAGAATATTCATAACATATTTCATACCGTGTACACTATAACATACCATAATAGACCCATTCTGTAATATACTTGCATATCTATATTATTGCTAATATATGTGTAATATATCTATATCATGGCTAAAGCACTTCTGGATAGATGCAAACTGCATTTTGTTGCCCTGTACCTG